TTTCTCAAACCAATGCCTATGAGCATGTTTCATCCCATATATAGCCTTATTCAATTTGCAAACATGAGTGGGATCAATACTAACAAACCCTTGAGGTTGCTTCATATAGACTTCTTCAACCAGAACTCCATTCAAAAATGCATTGTTGACATCTAATTGCTTAATTGACCAATGATGGGTGATGGCTATGATGAGAATGAGTCTGATTATGACAGGCTTTACAACAGGGGAGAAAGTTTATGTAAAATCCAAACCCTGCCTTTGATGAAAACCCTTAGCCACTAATATGGATTTAAACTTGTTGATAGTTCCATCTGGGTTTTCTTTGACCCTAAAAACCCACTTACAGCCTATAGCTTGTCTGTTAGGAGGAAGAAGAACAAGAGACCATGTATCATTAGCTATGAGGGCATCAAATTCAGCTTACATAGATGATTTCCAGTGAGGACTTGACAGAGCATGTTTGATAGTTCTGGGTTCAGAATGGGTAAGAAGCAGTTTAGGCTGAAGTCTAGGTTGAATAAAGCCTTACTTTTCCCTAGTTTGTATACTATGTTGATTAACTGGTATGACAGGGGCAGAAATGGCTAAAGGAGGTATAGGTGGAGCACTGTCAGCAGAGTCAGTTGACATATAATATGAATGACTGTGATTAGTATTAGAATCTGAGCTAATGGGAGAAGAAGGCATCTGAGTAGAGGATGAAGGTTCATAATTAAGTGACACAACTGCAGGAGATTCAGAACTATTGGAAGAAGAAGGATCCTGAGTGGAACCATCAACAAGACTGTTATTTAAGGTATTTCCCAAGTCATTGGAAGATGTGGGGAAATGAAAAGGTAGAGGAGGAATGGTAGCACCCCTGATGAGGGAGTCTTTAGGTATAGATGGAGAGAATAGCTCATGATAAGGAAATTTGGTCTCATTAAAAATTACATCCTTGGAGATGTATAACCTTCCTTTTGGAGATAAACACATATACCCTTTATGAGGAGTGGAATACCCCAGGAACAAGCATTCTTGTGACCTGAAATCCAGTCTGTGTGTGTTATAGGGCCTCAAAAGTGGAAAGCAAGAGCAGCCAAACACCTTCAGAAAGGTATAATAAGGAGAGGTATGAAAGAGAAGAGTGAATGGGACTTGAAAGTTTATAGATGCAGAAGGCAGTCTGTTAATAAGATAGACATCAGTTGAAAAGGCATAGTCCCAATAAGTTAAGGGGAGAGAATCTTGGCTTAACAGGGTGAGGCCAAGATCAACAATGTGCATATGATTCCTCTCCACCACACCATTTTGTTGGTGTGTATGAGGATAAATTACCATGTGAATAATCCCTAAGTCAGTTAGGAAGTTAGTAAAGGGTCTAAACTCACCACCCCAATCAGATTGGATAACTTTAATGGGAAACCCTAGCTATAATTCTACCATGGTTTTGAATTTCTTAAAGATATTTAAGGCTTCAGATTTATTTTTAAGAAAATATATCCAAGTGAAATTGGAATAAGCATCTACACAAGATATATAGTAGTTGTGACCAAGTGTGGAGGGACTTGGAGAAGGGCCCCATATGTCACTATAAATAAGCTCAAGAGGTCTAGTGTATGTGGTGTGTGAGGCAGATGAATGTAAACGGTGAGCTTTATCCATACAACAAGAAGAACATGAAAGAGAATGATCTTTATTAGAAAAAGGGACGTTACAACTTTGCAAAACAAGATTCAAATCATAAAGATTAGGATGTCCTAACCTAAGATGCCACATATTAGGAAAATTAGGATATACTTCTAGTATATTGAGGACTAGAAACATCAGTTTTATTGGAAGAAAAATAGGGAAAGAGACTAACTGGTTTAGTAGAATTGGACAATTGCACATTAGGAAACTAAAATAGTCCATCACCGCCAACAGAACCTTCAAGGAGTGTTTCACCTGAAACCTGAGATTTGACACAACAAGTATCAGGGTTAAACATGAAATAGACATTGTTATCTTTGTAGAATTTGCTAACACTCATTAGATTTTTGGTTATTGAGGGAATAAGCAATAGATATTTGATTGTTAGGTGTGTCTGTGTGTGGTTGATAGGGTGAGGGAAAAGTGCTAGAACCAGCAGATTGAATATGCAAACCTTGGCCATTGCTAATGAAAATCTGATCATGATCTTCAAAAGGTGTTAACTGCTGCATATTTTTGGCATCACTGGTAACATGGAAGGAGGCGTCTGAATCAGAGAACCAACCAGAAGAGGGAGATGGCATAACATTAGCAACAAATGTTCTTGGAGGCATCATAAGAGGAGTAACCATTCTGCTAGGACCCGGAGCTCTAGTCCACACATTTAGAGCATAATTTGGCCATGCTACAGGATTATAGAAGTTTCCACCCATACTAGGTGATTGAACTTGAGGATTTCCACTGACATATGAGGGCTGGAACTGATGATTATACCTATGCCAACCGTTGAAAGCAGAGCGACCAAACTTAGAGCAAACTTGACATTGCACATTGGAGTTGCGACCACCTCTACCTCGTCCATTTCTCCCTCCTCCTCTACCAGATCTACCACCTCTGAAGCTGTTATAGTCTGGTTCAGCAATAGGAGGAGCCTGAGGTGTGGAGGAATCAGAACTGAGTATAGTGTTAGAGTCACTAGTAACAGGAGCATCAGGTACAACTTGAGTGAGGTTTAGAGATGCAAGATCACGTACAGGGACCTTTTTGAACTTATTGAGACGAAGCTCGTGAGCAACCAAAATAATTTCAACTTCATCAATGTCAAGAACACCAAACTTGCTTTCAATTACAAAGACAACTGGAGAAAATTCAGAAGGTAAACCTTCAAGAATGACATCTATATGATGCAAAACTAGTAATGGATCACCAATTGACGCAAGAGAATCAATAATCAGTCTAATCTTGAGCAGATAATCCTGAATAGTCATCGAATCAAGCTTCATAGTGCGAAGTTCAATGCGAAGTTGTCTAGCACGTACGCATGTTTGTTCATGGAAATACTGAAGCAAACGATCCCACTACTCATGAACATGAGTGCAACCTAGCACGCGAGAGAGGATTTCACTCGATAATGTGGATTGAAGCCACAATAACAACAATTGGTCCTTCTGGAGCCAAACCGAGTAAGCAGGATTTTCAGATCCAGATTTACGAGCTTGATCATTAACAAATCGAGGAAAAATTCGCTAACAGACGACGAGTTCAGTGAGGCCATGCGCATTGATGAAAGGTTCGGCTTGTTGTCGCCATAGATGGAAGTTTTTCTCGTCAAGATTTTGCAACAGTTTGAGCGCGAAATTGAAACGCCGAAGATCATTAGAATCAGTCGTCACAGTCCTCGCCAGTGTCAGTTGTTTGTCATCGGAATTGGAGCGAGAGGCGGAAGGTGACGGTGGCGGCGAAGGCTCCATAACCATGGATCAAACGAAGCTATGCTACTTTTACTAATACCATGATAGAAAGTGAATGAGAGAGTTTCATTCATTCTCAACAACTTTTCTTTGAATGCAAAGTTAGTTACAAAATGCTAACAACTTTGCTTTTATATTACAAACAAGGTGACCTACTATAGCATGTAAGGACTGCTAACACCTTGACAGGTGTCAGTCACAAGATATCTAAAATCTTTTCAAGCCTAAACTAGTTGCTACTTTTAATATTATATAACTTAAACATATATTATTGAAGATCAAAACATAGTCGAAATCGCAATTGTTTTAAAAAAAATTAGTTCAAAAATAATTTATATAAAAAACTATGGGCAAATTACAATGATCTCCCCCCGAAGTCTGTTAAAATGACAGACATCTCCTCTAATTTATAAATAAACACAGAGTTCCCTTGAAGTTTATTAAAATAACATTGACACTCCTTCTAATTTTTAGTAACAGTAAAAAAATCGTAGGTATAAATGACATTTATCTATGGTTTTTCGTCTGTCACTAAAATTTATGTTGATATATGTATACTTAAAGGAGGTTAGTGCATGTTTTAAAATTAAAAAGGGGTGTTGATGTCATTTTAATAAATTTTAAGGGAGGTGATCGTAATTGTCCCCAAAATTATTTGAAATAGTTCAAAACTAAATGATTTTTTAAAATTTTAATATTAAAAAAAATTCTATAAAATAACTAAAATAACTCTTCAAATCAAATTTTTATGAAAAAATTCTTTGTAATTTTATTTACACAAAATTAAAATTATGTTATACTATAAAAATCATTTAAAAAAAATTCAAAACAAAAGGCTCAAAATCCTACCATTTTTAAAAACTAAATAAAATATTTATTAAGAGAAAGAAATTTGGTAACAAAATGAAATATAGAAAACTACAATGTCAATTTGATATGTATGATTAATATAAAGTATTTTTCATTTGATTAAATCCTCATATTTAAAATCTTTTTAAACAAAATAAAAATACTCTTAAAACATTTTTTCTTCAAAAAAATAAAAATGAGTTGTGGGTTGTCTTCATATAGTAAAAGTTTCTTTCCACCAAATGCATTATGCGTTTTCACCTCCAACCCTTTAATCATGTGTGTAAAGAGTAATTAAGCAAACCTCTAATCTTGTATCTAGATCATATGTTTAACCCAATAATTAATAATTAATCTTAAGTACCATTAATTTAATTTATAACTTATTTTAATCCAGATTTAATCGTACAAAATAAATAAATCCATCCACAAAACAGAGAATCCAATTTCTTCAATTTGGTAGCACAATCACAAGCAGCAGCACCAGGCACGCTAGTTACTTCACGTTCCAATATTGCCACGTGTCAATCTTATCCTACGTGTCCACGCTCCTTCATTTCAATCTCTCCTTATAAAAAACCTCATTTACCCCTTTCCCTCTCTCATAACATTCATTCTTTCACTTCTAACTGAACATAAACTCATTCATTTCTAACTCTAAAACCGTTACTGCATCTTCTTTCTTTCACACCAGAAAAAAAAGAAGCTTTCAAGTCTTTTTCATCAATGGCAGAAACTACTGTAAGAAAACTAATAGTAGAAGTTATCAATGCGAAAAACTTGATGCCGAAAGACGGTCAAGGAACAGCCAGCGCCTATGCAATTGTTGATTTTGACGGACAAAGAAAGAGAACGAAAACAAAATCCAGAGATCTGAATCCTCAATGGGATGAGAAACTCGAGTTTTTGATTCTTGATAAAGAATCAACGGTTTCTGAAACGTTGGAGGTGAATCTCTATAACGATAAGAAAACGACGGGGAAGAGAAGCACGTTTTTAGGGAAAGTTAAAATATCTGGAAGCACGTTTGTGAAGTTAGGCGAGGAAGTGATTGTTTATTATCCGTTAGAGAAAAGGAGCGTTTTCTCTCAGATTAAAGGTGAACTTGGACTCAAGGTTTGTTACGTTGATGAAGTTTTACCGGTTAACGAAACAGCTGGTGATGAGAAGAAAGAAGAGAAAGCAGAGGAGAAGCCACCGGAAACGGTAACAGAAGGAGAAAGTGATGGAAAGAAAGAAGAGAAAGCAGAGGAGAAACCACCGGAAACGGTAACAGAAGCAGCCGGTGATGAGAAGAAAGAAGAAACTCCAAATCCTGTTGTAACAACGGAAGATCAAAATCCAAAAGAAGAAACTCCGGCAGTTCCACCAGCACCGGAGGTAGTCAATCCACCTATTGCTGAATTTGAGAAGGTGAAAATCAAGGAGAAACAGTTTGAAATTATACAAAAACGTGCTGATTTGAATGTGAGAGATCACGAGCTTCGATCTCTGAGCAACGATCGGAGCAGAAGCGCGTACGATCTTGTAGATCGAATGGCTTTTCTATATGTTCGTGTTGTGAAGGCAAAGCGAACATTGAAACCTGATGAAAAAGCTTCAACGCTTTTTGCAAAGCTTGTGATTGGAACTCACAGTGTGAGAACAAAGAGCGAGAATGAAGGAAAAGATTGGGATCAGGTTTTTGCTTTTGATAAAGAGGGACTGAACTCAACATCGTTGGAGGTTTCCGTTTGGGCAGAGGAGGACAAAGAAAACAATCAGAAAACAGAGAGTTCTCTCGGAACGGTGTCGTTTGATCTACAAGAAGTACCGAAGAGAGTTCCACCAGATAGTCCTCTAGCACCGCAATGGTACACTCTGGAGTCAGAAGCCTCGCCGGGAAACGACGTCATGATCGCCGTATGGATCGGAACACAAGCTGACGAAGCTTTTCAAGAGTCATGGCAGTCAGATTCCGGCGGTTTGATACCGGAGACACGAGCCAAAGTTTATCTTTCACCAAAGCTTTGGTATCTGCGACTAACGGTTATCCAAACCCAGGATTTACAGCTAGGTTCGGGTTCCGAAGCTAAGGTTAGGCAGCCAGAGCTTTACGTAAGGGCTCAGCTCGGCGCGCAGGTTTTCAAAACTGGGAGAACTACTTTACTCAGCTCGTCTAATCCTACGTGGAATGAAGATCTCATTTTTGTAGCTTCTGAGCCGTTTGAGCCGTTTCTTGTTATAACACTAGAAGACGTGGCAAATTCAAAGTCATTAGGTATAACAAAGATCCACGTGTCATCCATCGAAAGGAGAATAGACGATCGAACGGATGTAAAGTCAAGATGGTTCAATCTTTGTGGTTTAGATGAAAACAATTCTTACATAGGCCGAATACATATTCGTATTTGTTTAGAAGGTGGATATCACGTGATAGACGAAGCAGCTCACGTGACCAGCGATGTTCGTGCTTCTGCGAAACAGTTAACAAAACCACCAATCGGTTTACTTGAAGTTGGCATTCGTGGAGCAACGAATCTTCTTCCAGTGAAAACCAAAGACGGTACTCGTGGCACAACCGATGCCTATGTGGTTGCTAAGTACGGTCCGAAATGGGTTCGAACCAGAACCATTGTAGACCGGTTTAACCCGAGATGGAATGAACAATACACATGGGATGTTTACGATCCTTGCACGGTTCTCACAATTGGAGTTTTCGATAATGGAAGATTCGAGAAAGATGTTTCTAAATCTCAAAGAGACGTTAGGATGGGGAAAATTCGTGTGCGGTTGTCTACACTGGACACTAACCGTGTCTACGTTAATTCTTATTCGTTGATTGTTTTATTGCCAGGTGGCGCGAGGAGAATGGGTGAGATTGAAATTGCGGTTAGATTTTCATGTTCTTCATGGTTGAGTTTAATGCAGGCTTACAGCAACCCAATTCTACCAAGAATGCATTACGTTCGTCCATTCGGTCCGGCCCAACAAGATGTTTTAAGACAAACCGCTATGAAGATAGTTACGGCTCGTTTAGCCCGGTCTGAACCGGCACTGGGTCATGAAGTGGTTCAGTTCATGCTTGATTCTGATACTCACGTGTGGAGCATGAGGAGAAGTAAAGCGAACTGGTTCAGATTAATCGGTTGTTTGGCACGTGCGACGACTGTGTTTCGTTGGTTAGATGGAATTCGCACGTGGGTTCACCCACCCACAACGGTTTTAGTTCACGCGCTTCTCATAGCGATTGTGCTTTGTCCATATTTAATTCTTCCAACGGTGTTCATGTACGCTTTCTTGATTTTGATGCTGAGGTTTAGAAACAGGCCGCGGGTCCCACAAAACATGGATCCGAGGATGTCTTACGTGGACATGGTGAGTCTTGATGAACTCGACGAGGAATTCGATGGGTTTCCGACGATGAGGTCGGTGGAAGCGGTTAGGATTAGGTACGATAGGGTGCGGGCACTTGCGGGGAGGGCGCAGTGTTTGATTGGTGACGTGGCGGCGCAAGGTGAGAGATTAGAAGGTTTGTTTAGCTGGAGGGACCCACGGGCTACTGGGATATTTGCGGTGATGTGTTTGGTTATGTCGTTGGTGTTTTATGTTGTGCCGCTTAAAGGGTTTGTGCTTTTGGCTGGGTTTTATTATATGAGACATCCCAGGTTTCGTGACGACATGCCGTCTGTTTCAGTGAATTTTTTTCGGAGGCTTCCTTCGTTTTCTGATCAGATAATGTAACAAAGGCAGATAGGTAGTTTATTACTGTTTTTTTTAATGATGTTTTTGTTTATGTTATGTATGAGTTGGGGTATTCTAAGAATTTATTATTCATTATTTATTTTAAATGATTTGAGCTATTTTAGGTAATGAAGGAAAATGAGGCTGAAAGTGAGGAAAAAAGTGGTTTTGGTACGTGGTGTAAACGTGATTAAAAGGTTACCGTTGTTGATTGTGGACTTAAACAGTGAAAAGGGGATATTAAAAGTTAAGCACTAGAAACCATTTGTGGAGAATACTTGAACGCTAAGTAAATGCATCCATTTAGAGGATTAAGACCGTTGCAACCTATTCACCTTTTGTTTTCTATCTTCATTAAATAAATAATAGTATCACTTCACAGTACTATTTTCTGTTTTCTTTTGTGTGGGCAATGTTTCATATGCTGTTTTGAATATTCAATGTGATGTATTATTTGTAGAACCTCTCCTAAAAAAATTAGCTTATTTATTTAATAATTCTAAAAAATTTATATGGTTGATAACATGCCAATACATAGTTAATTTAAGTTAACTATGTGGTTGATGAATTATAATTTTTTTAACATAATTAGTTTCTATTTTTGCAATTGTTCACAAATATATTGCTAATCACTTTGCAAATTCCGTAGTTATTAAGTTATTTTAATATTGTATTTTTACCATCCACTAAAAAGAGCATGATTAAGAATTAGGTCTCTTTATAATTTGTGTGATGCATTAGATATCTACCATAAGATATCTCTCAACTTATCCCATTAGATATGTACTATAAGATATCTCTTCATTTATTCCATTAGGCCTTATTATGAATTGATACAATTTAAAATATTGAGTGTTATTTGAATCTCAGAGTTAGAAGTCTTAAATCAAGATTTTTTGAAAGTCTTGATTCGAATTAGATATGTTGTGGTTCGAATTATGAACTTGCTTGGAAGTGAAAAATTTGTCTGTGCCAGTTGATTTTAATCAGAAAAGTTTGTGATTTGAATCAAAGTCATCCAAATTTCTTTTAAAATAAGTGTGATTCGAATCACACGTTGCTTTACTACATCACACATCCAGACTTGATTCAAATCACTACTAACAAATGTTTTCACTTCACTACATTCTTTCTTTGATTCAAATCACAACAACTCAATATTTGATTCACATCATATTGTTCTTTTCTCGTCTTTTTGTGCATTACTCTGGCACCTATTTAAACCTTTTTAGTTGTATCTCTTAAAAAAAGTGATGAGTGAAGTCAGAGGGGTTGTTGACAATGCAAGTCAATGACACTTGTTGATCAGAAGTGATGATCACAATTAAGAGAAACTCTTTGATAAGTCGTTGAATATTTCTACTTTGTGTATCCAAAAAATTCATCAAATCCAATCTTTCTTTGTCAAGAATCATGAGAGAAATCATTGTTGTACCCTAAATTTTTCCAGATTATTTTCTTTTCATTTTATTGCTTTCGTTCGTTATTTCATCTATAACTAATTTGTTAGGATAGATTATTTTGAAGCAGTTATTCTCATTTTGATTGCTATTTTAGATTTTCTTTTCCTTTTGTCGAGTTTTCATATTTCAAACGATAAATATCATCTTTTTAAAAAATGTGTGACAAATTCTTGCTTCTATTGTTTCATTTCCTTTTTGCATACATGAAAAATAATAATCAGTAAAAATGTCGTTTTTACTTTTACATTTATTTTCATTTTTGAATTCATTCTTGCTATTTCTAACTTGCCATTCATTTTCACAAAATCACATTTTTTCACAATGCTAGTTCATAACTAACTTTTGATCATAACAATTTATAATTAACTTTTGATCCTAACCAATTCCTAACTAACTTTGGCTCCAAAATTTGGCCTATAAAAACATCAACTACTCATCACTTCATCATCAACAATCATTATCTTCGATCTCCATTCAATCACCAATTTCATCTCCAACAAACTTCACACTTCACAATCTTCTTCGTTCTTCAATCTTCACATCCTTCATTTTCATCTTCATCGCATCTTCTTCTCCATAACTAAACCTCCAATATTCATCACCTTCAAACTCCACCACCCACACATCAACATAACAGATTCAACCGCCATAACCTCCTTGATCCTCAGCTTCGAACCACCACAACAAAACCATAACCTTAACACACCCCCACTCCAATCACCATAACAAAATTATAATAACCTACACAAATTTCATCAATGAACTTCCTCACAACATTAACAGCAACCAACATACAACACAACAACAAGAAATTTGAAAATCAAAAAGCAAATCTGAAATCAAAGAAGCAAGAAAGAAGAAGAAAAATCAAAGAATCGAAGAAAAAAAAGAGAGGAAGAATCGCAAGAAACAGAGAAATTTTACCTTGCAGAAATTCCATATTTTTCGAAGAAAAACTCATAAAGTCGTGAGAAATTACAAGAATCTCGTCGGAATCTGCATTTTTTTCTTGAAGATTCAAATTGCCGCCATAAAAGCGTACGGAAGTCCGACCATATCGATGCTTCATTCGTGTGACTTCTGACCATATCGCCGCCGTAGAAACCACAAATCCCGTTGGAAGAAGTCCCCAACTGCGTGCCCAACCTACGATCCCCATTTAAATAACACCGACAACTTCTCTATTTCGTCACTGGTAACACTCTACTTTCTTGTTTTCCATGGTTTATGTTGATTCAAACGAGGGTGAAGTTTTGGAATTTCGTTAGAAAATTAGAGAAGAGAGACGCGAGAATCGTAAGAATTGAATTGTTTGTTGTTTGTTTATTTTGATTCTTCTAAAAAATGAATTGGTGAAGACAAGAGTTTTGAGAGAAGATGTATGTTTGCTTCTTTTCTGGAAAAATATGAGCGTTAAGATGGATAAAGATTTTAACTTTTGGAAGGGAAAGTTAGAATAACTTTAGGTAAAATTTGGATAAAATCAAAGAGAAAGTGATGTTAATTTTGGAGGGAAAAATAGGTGAGAGAAAGTAAATATTCCCCGTTAAGATAAATAGAGAGAGGTTTCATGCTGTTTTTGTTTCTCTTTTTTTCTGAATATAAATGTAATGAAATCGAGTGAGAGAGAAGAGATTGAGAAGAGAGAGCTTGAATAAAAAGCAATTTGAAAAGTATGATGCAGCGGATTCCCTTTCCATCTAGTGCCCTCCTCCTTCCTTCATCTAGGGTTTTTTTTCCTTTGTGTTGTTTAGCATTGTGAAAGTGAGCTAGACTGGGCCTTAGGCACATGGTTCCATTGCCGCCCCAGTTCATTTTGCCACCCTTTATTTGCTTCGTTGTACCCCATCTGTTTATTATTTTTTTTTGTCATTGTTAATGTGTTAACGGGCAAATATCTAGACCCTACAAATTAATCATGCATACACCATTTGTTTACTGTCTTCACCTCCTTTTGTTTTACATTGTTTTTACCTTTTATTTTATTTTTTGTTCTTAGTCTTGTTAATGTATTCATAATCATTTAATTGTTGATCATAAACTTTGGAAAATTTGTGAGGAGCCTTCTATCGCCATTTGGGCTCATTTATGTGTTCATGTATGTGCGCTTGTTAGAATTAGACATGTCTTAAGTAATTTCCCAAATTATTTGATTAGTTAGGTTTTTATCTCTTATCATTTACTTTTTAATCATGAATTTTGGAATGTGTTTTGAGCATGTTAGCACTTAAAGAAAATATATAATAATAAGGACGTTTAAATGTCGTATTTAGAATCGGTCAATAAAGGATAATCTGGTGCACATTTGTTTTATTCCCCGAATAATCTGACGCGTGGCGTATGCCTCGGTTTAACCGAGCATTTGTCTTCCGCATACTAATTATGATATTTAAGTATTTCCTATAATTTTCAAAAATAAAAATCATATTAAAAAGGAATAATCATGTGCACACCCTTTTATTTCCCAAATAATCGGATATGTGGTGTAAGCTTTGTTCAAATCGGTCATTCATCTTCCGTATACTAATAAAAAACTCTTTCCTAAAAAAATTTGGATTAAAAAGGGAGTAATTGGGCGCTCACATTTTTTATCCTTGAGTAGTCGAAAGCAAGGTACACCTTGTCTAAGGTCAATTATTCGTCTTCTGCCTAAAAGCAACTATGAATAATCAAATCTATTTTTTTCCGCCTTAGCGTGAACTTTTCATTCAAACAGTTTTTTAAGCATACATTTAGCGCCCCAACGCGGGTCTTTTATTCCAAAGAGCAGTTATCGCCCCAACACAAATCCTTTTCAATCAATGAGTCTTTCTACCTCCCCAGCACGCCAAAACTCGTTTTCATAATTAAAATCAACCAACAAATAACTATTTTCTACCCATAACTATGTAGCTTTGAGTTCCCTATCACACCGGGGGATGCGTAGGAGTGAGGTCCAATGTCTCGTCAAGCACCCTAATTAAAAACTTATTTTCTTTTTTATTTCCTTTTTGTAAATATGTCGCAACAATTAGGAGAATTAAAAATACCTTAGGCTAACAATCTTACTCTCAAAACTAATTAAGCGGTTCCCGTTGTATCACAACAGGTGTTGCAGGGTGCTAATACACTCCCCGTACATAATCGACTCTCGAACCTGAATTTAGTTGCAATGACCATATTTTTGTTCTTTTAAGGTTTTATCGATGTTTTCTCTTTTAAAAATAATCTTCGGTGGCGACTTTATTGAATTTTGAGCGCCTATTCGCTCAGTTATTTTTCGCACCACGACAACCATAAATATTTCTTCATTCAGCAACAAAATATCACTGAAATTCAACCTTGTGAAAAACCTCCTAGAATGTTGGAGCATGAGAATTATATTGTTGTGTTGTGTGATATCCTTTAGATATTATTCATCATCTTCAACCTTATGCTAACAAACCATTATTATTTGTCTCAACTCTAAAGATTGAGTGTGAGAGGTAGATCGAGGTACATTGGGGAATCTAATGTATTTTTGTGATGTTTTGTTATTTGTATCAAGATAAAGAATCACTTCTTGTTCACATTGTTTATTGGTGCTTATCAAGCAAGAGAATAATTTTCTTTATATTCCAAGGAAGACTTTGGTGGATCCGAGTAAAGGTTGTCTCAAAACAAGTTAGAAGTTATCCTCATTCGATAATAGAATAATCACTCAAACAATTCTTTGCCAGATTTGAGTAAAGGAGACTGCAAAATTGAAGTTTGGAGCAGGTCATTGGGTCTATCAAGTTTGGGGAATCAAGATCATTGAAGATCTTGAATGTTAGTCATTGAGTAATCTACATCAAGAGGGGGAATTATTATTTTAGATATGTTTTGACTAAAGCATTAGGTTGTTAGTGTTTAGTTTGATGATAATTCATTGTACCAAAATACTTGTATCTTTAACTTTAATCATAGTAGAAGACGTTAACTTTTCGGGTGGTGAAAATCATCGAAGAGTGGAGTAGGCATAACAAGGATGAATTGTGGACATAATTCCTTATTGTATCATTGTATGTTAGGTGTAATTCATCATTAAAATGTCATCTAGAATTAGATCTTTCATATAGTGTGTTGTCATATAAGTGTAGGCATCTGATGTATTTAATTTGATGAATTTTCATCTTTGGAATTAAGTTTATATTGACCCTAAGTCACTGGACTTTAATTGTTGGTTAAATCAACTTCAAGTTTATTTGAATTAATGATATTGTTTGAATTCATGTCTCAATGATAACGAGGAAACACATATGAAATCCATTCACCATGTTTTACTTACGCTCACTATCTTTTTCTTTTGTGCTTTAACTATGATTTTATAAAAACATATTATTTTTTAGATAGTGTTTTTAAGGGGAATGATTTATTCAACCCCCTTCTAGACTTTCTCATATTTACATCTCGCCCAATTATTCTGATTCCTCCCTTTCAGAACTTCATGTTAGAACACTCTTGATAAATCTTTTCCCGTGACTCATTCAACTAAGTGTACTTATCATACCTACATGCATTCGTCGATTAAATTCATCTTTCCTCTAGCGAGACTCCTTCCTTATCAGACATATATAATTGGCATCAACAGTGATCCATTTTCTCGAACTGAGTGGTTAGATTTTTCTCAAGGTTGATGAAAGATCGATCCATGTTCAGTAGTTCCTTTATAGTACACATTTCTCTTCTTCCCAACTTCTCTTTGAAGGGGCTACTTTGCAGGGTTGAGTTTCGATGACTTTGTGGCGCAAACGTCACCATGACCTTGTGTATTTCTCTCACTATTAAGCATTCTCTCTCTAATCCTATTTCTCTATTTATTTCAATTTCTCTTTCCTCAAAAACAACTAATGTCACCCAAAGTTATCTAACCCAAAGTAACTGAATCCAAATACTATTCTACAGTGGATCATTCTCGAATATCCAACATTTGAGGACCTCTTCGAATCCTTTTACCTCCACGACCAATTCCATGAAGCGGTCAATGTAATACCTTAAACTCTCCTTTTTTTCCTCGTGTGATCCTGCTTAAGGCAGTTATTGTCAATGACTACCTCTTCCGGGTCGTGAAGTGAGGGATGAAGCTCTCGTACAGGTAGGACCAAGACTCGATGCTCCCTCTAGGTATAAAGTTGAACCATAGCCTGGACGATCCAATTAATGTTAATAGAAAAAAATTTATATTTGGAAGCTTTGTCAGCATGGAAGTAGTTTAGTCGGTCATTGACGAGTTAAACGTGCTCGTCGAGATCTTCCTTCCTATTATATTCGCCTAAATTATGAGATTTCTCCAATGATTTTAGTATTCTACTATCCAAAATATGAGCGCATATAAGGTGTTGTGTTTCTACAAAATTTTTACAGGCTATTTCTCTACTTGGTTATGTGGAGGGGCATGGCCATTCTGATTACCAAATGACCCCACAAACCAACACAAGTCTTTTCAGGATGTTTTGTCTTCACTCACACGCTTTCCAGGAAAATACCCAGAAGGTCACCAATCTAAATAATACTCCAAGCCAAGCACGCTTAACTATGGAGTTCTTATCTTTCAGGCTACCGAAAAGAAGATGCATCTTATTGGTATAGGTAGTACTAATAAATCCTCATAATACTTTTTCAACCATGCATCCTGTTGTACCCCAAAATTTGCCCTCCCATTTCCTCAACATTTTCTCATCACCAGACCTTTGAAGATCAAGATCCAATTAGGGTTTCCTCTGCTCAAGATTTCTCCTTGCACTGTTGACCCAAATTAGGGTTTGTGTTTGCACAAAGATATTTTGACCTAAAATGCCTAAGATGACTTTCATGCTTCATGTTGGACTCCCAAGTTTATCCATGCCAAGTTTCAAGTCTTGATTCCAAGTTTTGCCCAGTCAATTGGACAGATGACTTAGAAATCAGCTGTATTGGGGAAAAAGTCAACTGTGGCCAATTGACAGTCAAATCTCATGGAAATTGACCCACATCAACATTATGAACTCATATGGACCATTTGATCAAGTTTGGATCACAATTCCACAAGAAATTTGATCAGATCACCAAAAGGGCAAAATGGTCATTTTTAGGGTTTTGACTGCACAAAGGCAATTTTTGACTGTTTGACCTAGCCAATGGCAAACCTAGATCACATATGGACTCAAGGACCCCATGGAA